ACTCTGTTTCATATTATTGTAAATCTAATATGTTTAGGTTTTGGACATTAATAATTAATAGAAAGATGTTGCCTTGAGCTCTGAGGTATGTCAAATGATTGCAAAATAATAGTCAGTTTAATCAATACGAAAATAATGAAGAGATATTCACTATTTTGTGACAGTAGTACATGAGAAAGATAAATTTGTAAAAAAAAAATCAGGTTTCCTCTGGCTCCTCCTAGTGGCTCCTAATGGGATTTGCAAGAATCACCGGGCCTGAATGAAACAACTGATTGATGCTGTAGTAAAAGTTCCAGCAAACATGACAAAACATTTAACAAAAGTTACCTACACGAAGCATAGTTTACTGCATCAAATATACCATACAGTCAGTAAAAGATGAAGGGTGGTGACTTTACAGAAAAACAAAAGGAAAGAACGTATAAACTTTAATCGTCACTCAGATACCAATAGTTTGAGCAGCCAGAAGCGTGACTTGTAGTAGCAGGTCTTGAAGGGGTTGATGAGGAAGAAGAAGAAGAGGCCGTAGAGAGCCAGAGGGTTAGCCTGCATTGGCACCAGGATGCTATCACTGAAGAGACAGGACAGCAGGCTGACACACCACAGCACCCCCAACAGACCTGCAATCTGCACACACACAAGACACAAGACACACAATATTCATCAACTGTAAAATCCTGAAAGACCAATCACTATCCAGCATATTAGCTCCAACTGACAGTGAGATCTCATTTTGACCTGAGGGTCTTGAGCCATCTGTTCTGATTGTTAGACAGCATGTTTGCGTATGTGTGTGTGTGTGTGTGTGTGCTCAGACCTCAAACAGATGTTGGTGGGACAGGTTGTTTCTGGGGTTGAGTTCAAATATGAGTACATGGTTCACTCCTGCTTGCCTCCAGCCGTAGGTGTTGATGCCTGGAAGATAAAAAAGGATGAATGAACAGGCAGTCAGATGCTGGTGTAATCATTTTGAATACAGACAGATATTAACACGGCAGCTGCAGATGTTTTTTTATGTATTATTTGCTAGGCTTGTTTTCTTAACTTCATTCTCCTGAAGTGAACAAACAGAAACTTAACTCCCAAATTAGTAACATGTATGTATGTGTACCTAACAGGAAGAGGAATTCTATTAACAGGAAGCCTCCTCTGTAGATCCTGACCATAGGCCAAACATCAGTACTACCGATCACCACAGCTCCTAGAGACGGATAGAGAGGGAAAGAGAGTATGGACAGAGAGACACAACCAACAGCACATCATTCAGCATAGACTACTTTACAAGGCAGCCCATTTCCTTTTCTATATCAGGAAAGAGGAAATATACTTTTATTTATTTGGACAATAAAACAAATGTAAAGTAATAAGCAGAGAGTAAAAAAAAACTCAAAGCCTAATTTCTTCATTCTACTTTAGTAGAACGTGTAGTAGTACGTTAGTTATGAAAAATACACTCCATTTCTATTTTTGCTGCAGTGATTCAGTTTTTTCTTCCTGAAACTAAAGTATGGTGTGTTCTGCTGTGACCAATGCCAGCCAAGTTTATTTCTGGCCCAGACACTCTGACTGGTCATATTCCAGGAAGTAAAAACAGAGCCACTAGATGATTAAAAGTTTTCAAAATCTTTAAATCTTACAATATTCAATATGCACAACTTCTGTTTTAGGACTATATATGTGTGTGTATGTGTGTGTGTTACCTGTAATGACCACAGTCACTATTAAGACAAGGAATACTCCACAATAAAGCCCAACTCTAAAGGTGGTCCAAGCAGGAGCAGGCTGCAGGCAGACAGAGGAACAGTCAGCATCTCAGAGCAGGACGTGGCAAACAATAACAGTAAGAAATAAGGAGTAACTTGGCCATCTTTTAGCATTAAGATTCGCCGAGTTTGTTGTTCAGTACACAAATACATAAGTGAACTATCAAACTAATAATGAATTTGAAACTGCACTTGTCACACCTGATCAAAAAAATAACATCAAGCTGTCAGTGTGTAAACACTTTTGTCTGTGTGGATGAATTACTGCTGTTCAACTCTCCTCCTATCATTATACGGTATCATTTACAGTACATCGTTATATTATAGACTTAATCCTTTTTCACAGGTTTCAACAGGTTACATTTAAGACTTTTAAAAAGCATTATATATCCATCCTGGCAAAATAGTAGGAAGCATATGAAGGAATGGTCTGGGTTACATGTTGGTTACATGTTGCTTTTCATTTGGTAGCTGTTGCAGCATGATCAATACAATATTTCACAAAAACATTAACTTTATTAAACCAATAAATTTCTGTAAAATTTAAGACGATTTAAACCCTGTATTATTGGATTCTTAAGACTTTTTAAGGCTAAGAAAGAAAGAAAAAGAAACCAAGGAGATTGGGAGTGGAGAAGTATTTTTGGTAGAACCTGTTCACAGGCCATCTATACTGGGCAGCAAAATTCACAATGATCACATTTTCCCCCAGAAATCCAAACTAACTCCAAGCTGGTCAATCGTTCATTGAATCATGCAATAATTTTGGTCTCCTGATCTTTCACAGAAGTAGTTTGGAGTGACAGCTAGGCCTAAACAGTATCTATGAAGTTAATACTGGTGTGTGTGTGTGTGTGGTGTGGTGTGTGTGTGTTGAGAGAGAGAGAGAGTGAGTGAGTGTGCGTCTGTGTGTCTGACCTGTGCAGCTCCCAGGGGAGGTACTCTCAGCCTCTTCATGGCCCTCTGTCTGTCACCACCTTCCAGCTCTGTTGTGACCAACGCCTGAAAGACAGAGAGACAATTTTGAGGGTTGCTTTCTTCCTAATAGATAATACGGATGATACTTTTGAAATATAATATTGACCATCTGGACCTTGTAGAACCTGGTTTAGCAATACTATTCTTAAAGCCCCTACAGAAGCTTTTATTGTGTGTTGATTCTGGCGCTGATAAAAGCAGTAGTGTTTCTACCACCTTGTTTTATTGATTTCAAGAGGAATCCGACCCTCTATTAAAAAGAACTATTTAGAAATAGGCAATCTTCTCTCTGATGGTTCTGTTTATGTAGGTCATATAGAGGCATCAGTATTTTCATAACCTTTTAAAAGCTCTTTGCAGTAGGTTGAACTACAGCAGAGCTAATGAGGCATGTGCGCACTGGAGCGTGTTGACATGAATGTGTGTAGGTGTGTAGGTGTGTGCACCTCGGTCTCAGAGATGAGCTGCGTGATCTTCTTGCATGTGTAAAATGGAGCCACCTCGACGTGGGCCACCCTCCAGTCGGCCCCCCTTGACGTCTCCAAAATCTTATCATGCTTCTTCAGGATCTTCCTGAAACCTGTGAAGTTCAGGTTCTACAGAGAGAGGGAGAGAGGGGCGTTTAATGAAAGAAGAATCAAAGCTAACAAAAGCAGCTGCTGATGAAAGATGTGAAACTATAAATGAGCTCTAGAGGACAAAACGCTGAATGTGCAGTATAACCCATTTCTGAACTGACGGAAAGGTGGGGAACACATACTATTGAAGATTATTTTACCCATTTTTCAAAGCTGTTTTAATTGATTTGTTTTTGCCACTAGGGAGTAACAAGCTGTAAACACAACATCTGATATATAAAGTTGTTACAGCCAACAGTTGCCTGTTTACACACCAGCAGACACAGAGCGACATCATTCATTTAGCGTGGTGTTTGTGTCCAGTATTAACTCTCTGTTAGCTCTAGTGCTCTAAACGCTCCACTACGTTTACCAGTTAGTGGACCAGCTTTGTGTTTTGGTGCTGAGCAGGTAGTGTGCAGTGGGTTCATCAGAGCTTTTTGCAGTAGATCAGAGAGATTGTAGCAAAAAGTTGCAGGAATACCAAAACGGTCAAAAGTCATATACTTTACTGGTAGGTCTATTATTGACTCATTTAACCTCAGGTTTAGTCCTAATTTGTTAATGATGCAGGGTTCATGATGAAGTGTCTCAAGTTCATTACAGGTAGATGGTCAGCATTTATGGGACACTCGTAAGCCCACTTTCATAGAGAGCTTGGCTGTTCTCACCACAGCAATTTTTTTTCCACTGCAGTACCAGTGGTGTTCTCCGGTAAACTAACTACACTTTACTACATATTTCCTTCAACAGTATTGTTAGAGTTGGTGGTCAAATTCAAGTTAGTCTTTATTGTTTTCTTTCCATTTTTGCAATGAGTTTTGTTATTAGTTTCACATCAATAGTAGCCAAAGAGGTTATAAATTTGGTGGATTATGTAAAAACTACTGGTGTGATTTTGGTGGAGGGGTGTAGCATGGACCATGGAAGAACCCATTACATTCTGGATCAGATCTGAGTCACACAAATTATTTTTCACTTTAAAAACTCTTAACATTGCAAGAGCGGTCAAAACACTGTCTAGTTATTAGTTCTTATCTCCCCTAAAACTCTTTCTCTAAATCTTAGTTTAGTTAATAGTCCAGTTAAACTTTTTATATGTTATAACAGCTGTATGTGTCAACCTGTGAGTACTGCAAAATAACTTATTAATCAATGGGCTTTGTCCCTGACAGATAAAATAATAAATGGTCTTCATGTGGTGTCTGTGAAAATTGGTCACAAGAGCTTTGTGTGTCTTTGTTTGCATGTCTACTGCACCTGATAGTTCTGCAGCAGTATGAGGCTGAGGTAGAACTCAGAGAAGGCCAGCTGCAGGTCCTTTATGTTTCTGTGTTTGCATCGCTCCTGCTGCGACAGGGCGAACACCGTCTTCCTCCTCCTCAGGCCCCGCCCGTTAGCCCAGCTCTCCCTCTGGGCGTCCAAAGATGACTGCAGCTCGTTCTGCAGCGTGGCGAATCGCCGCTGTGCCTCGGCGAGCTTTTCTGGAGGGAGGAGAGGGATGGAGATGAAGATGATTGTAAAAGATAGAAAGCCACTGCAGGACAATAAGCACAACACACTGTCTGAACTACATATACAGGAGTAATATCTAGCTCTAACGTATGAGCAGTGCTTTTAGTTGTTGTCATTACCAGAGTAGAAGGTGTTGATCTTGGCCAGTTCTTTCTCACATGTCTGGAAGAATTTCTCCTCAAACTTGGCATAGTACCTCTTGACCGTATCCTCATCTGTGACTGCAAGAAGATAACAAGTTGTTAGATTAGAGAAGACTGTTTGTCTTTATGGACCTTATTGGGGACGGAAAATGGACAGGAGGGCAGAGAGGGAAGGTGACGAGTGGACAGCAAAGGGAGAACAAGGAGAGGCTGGGATGGAGGATGGACAAGGGGAATGTAAAATCCTATGTTTTGTGACCAGCAGGTGGAGCAGTGAGACAGCAGCAGTTTCCAAAAGCTGCTGGATTCTCTGTTGTTTTCCAAGGACACTTCAATTTTATTTGAATTAAAATGTGATATTTCAGTTTGTGTAACCAGGCTTTCACTCTTTTAATGCATACAGATTACAAGTTTAATCTCATATTGCTTCTTATGAGTCATTTTATCCAACAATACTACAATGCAGATTTCTCTACTACAGCTACATAATGCAGTCTGTAGCTGCTGACACACAAAATGTAATCTTCTTTGCAAACCAATTTGTTTTTAAAAACATATTTTGTCTTCAGTACTTGTACTCAATGGCTAAAGTGTGTCTGATATATAGTCGTAGTTATGATGGCTTCTATCTGGCTTTTAGTCAGAAAGTTTAACCCAAAAAATAGTTAGTTGTTTAAGATTTTCAGCTTTGACAGCATTACAAAACACACTTAGTGAAATCACACAATATGTCAATATTTGGCACAGCTAAATCAATTAAATGCTATAAGCTATACAAACACACTTATTTAACCAGTGGTTCTCAAACTTTTTTTTTGGCATGCACCCCCTCAGAAAAAGTTAACTTCACTACCCATCACCCCGTACTGTAATCAATCTATGATAGAGTGAGCAACTAATGAAAAAGAATCCAAGTTGAATTTTAGTGACATAAAGGTCAGCATGATAGCATCAGCAAACTCTTGTTTATTTTCCCTACAATCAGAATTGACTTGCTGATGTACTCAAGCGCATCAATTATCTTATCTGTTTCACCCCAACATTGTTTGATCAGATGTTGAGCCGTTGAGGCTGTTTCTGTCCTTCAGCGAATAAAACAAAAGGTCAAAAAGACTCAATATCAATAAATGATTGATATGAGCTACAAAGTGTAGCTGAATTGACTACATTTTTGCCTGCCAAGTCTGACAATGATCTGTGTGTTTGCTGTACATACCACTATAGCTGACTGCCAAACACTGTACTCAAGTCCTTGTAATGCTGGAATCAAACATCATATTTCTGTCTTTTGAGATTCGACACAGTGTCAGATTAGTCTATCGCAGAGTAATGTATTTTCACCGTGACTTGGCCAAGAGGCACGACAGGCTTCACTCTGGATGCCGACCAATCATAGCTTGCCGTCTGTCATGGTTACAGGTTCACTAAAATGAAATGCATCATTCCTCCTCTACAGTTAAGGAGCGTTCTGAGCTGATAGTGGTCGACGACACAGAACACATTGTGTTGTAAAGCTGTCAAACTAGTAGTAAGAAGACAAAACATGTCAGGACGTAACAAGGCCCCAGATACTGTGTCGATTATCTTCCACTACGACACACTACAGGGGATAACATGAGTGACTGTTTCTGACATTTTGACCCATCACAGTTGTATATAATAAAATGTATTAGTTCCAGGGTTTCAGGGTGCTGGTATTGTGCATGATGGCTCACCCTCACACTGTCATGGTTTAAAGGCATACTATGCAGGATTTTCCTAACAAACAATGTGAAACTCATACAAACATCATTCCTCTAAATAATAAAATAATACTTTTTTTTACATTTACATACATTTTAGTATTTCTTGGGGCTTTTATTGCCTTTATGA